AGCTCACAGCAACCTCCAACTCCTGGGCTCAAGTGAGTCTCCTGCCTCAGCCTCCCAAGTAGCTGGGACCACAGGTGCCTGCCACAACCTCCAGCTATTTTTTGGTTGCAGCCATCATGGTTGTTTGGCGGGCCCGGGCTGGATTCGAACCCACCACTTTAGTGTATGTGGCTGGCACCCTAGCCACCTGAGCCACAAGCACCGAGCCACTACTTTAGATCTTAATGACTTTTTTTTTTTTAGACAGAGTCTCACTCTGTCACCCTTGGTAGAGTGCTGTGGCATCACAGCTCACAGCAAGCTCCAACTCTTGGGCTTCAGCAGTTCTCTTGCCTCAACCTGCCAAGTAGCTGGGACTACAGGCACCCACCACAATGCCCAGCTATTTTTTAGTTGTAGTTGTCATTGTTGTTTGGCAGGCCTGGGCAGAGTTCGAGCCTGCCATCCCAGTGTATGTGGCTGGCACCTTAGCCACTGAGCTATAGGCACTGACCTTAAGGACATATTTTGACAGGTTATTTGCTTAGAAGTAGGATTTATCTGTTCTGACAATACTTAGCTCTATCTTGGGCATTTTTCTTTAATATGTAAATGATTTCTAATTCAGTTTGTGCAGATGTTATCCTGGACGACTAAGATTTGCAAGGAAAACAGCCAGGGTAAGTTTTCTGCCATGTTTGCTAAAGGCTTTATATAAAACCATCATTACCAACTAGTATTTAGAAAAGGAAGGGTATTCCCTTTACACATTCACCAGATTCATCAAAATGAAAAAGATACATAATACCAATCCCAAGTGTTGGCAAGAATTTAGTGTATTTGGACCTCTCATTCACTGCTAATAGAGGTGTAAATTGGTATAACCACTTTAGAAAAGTGTTCATCAATATGTACTAAAGTTAAAAGTATACGTTTTGTTTTGATCCAGCCGTTTCACTCTAATCAGAAATAGATGGAAGAGTTCTCATAGCAGCACTATTTTAATAAGTAAAAAGAAACTTAAGTGTTCATCAGCCCTATAGTGGATAAAGTAATTGTGTTGTAGTCACAGTGGAATACTGTATAGCAAGTGAGAATAAGCAGACTTAACACCTACACACCAACAACATGGGGAAGATCTCACAAACATAATGTGGAACAAAAAACCTAGACACAAAAAAGTACTTAATAATTGTTTTCATTCAGATAAAGTTCTAAATCAGGCAAAAGTAATCTGTAATATTAGAAGTTAAAATAGCACTTTCTTTTGTAGGGCAAGTAAAGCATGAGAGGGTGTTTAGGGTGCTAGTATGTATTGGATCTGGATGCTGGTTACACAGTGGTCAGAAGACAGATGGGAAACATCTGCCTTCTTTGGACACATGGATGAAAGGGTACTATTGAGGGAGAGCTGTTCAGTTGACGTACATAAAAAACTGGTATGTTAAACCTGGGACATGATGAGCTACATGTTCTGGTTAGGCACTCCAGACATATACTTGAAGGACCTGACTGGGTTATTACTTGATCTTTTAATTTGCTTTCCTTCCTTCTCCTAGAGGATGCCCTGTTTTGCAAGAGCTTGATGAACTTGCTCTTCAGCCTGCATGTTTTGTATAAGAGTCCTGTCATCCTGCTGCGAGACTTGTCCCAGGATATCCATGGGCATCTGGGAGACATAGACCAGGTACTGTAGCAAGCCTTCAATCTAACACCCTGTGTCGGGGTGCTGGTCAAAGAAACAACCTCACTGACACTAGGTCTCACCTCTCTTTCTCTCTCCAGGATGTAGAGGTGGAGAAAACAAACCACTTTGCAATAGTGAACTTGAGAACAGCAGCTCCTGCTGTCTGTGTAAGTATTAACATTGAGCCATGAGAGATAGGTTTGTCATTCCTTCTGTTCTGCTCTATATAGAATAAATTGTAGTATAGTATGCTTGTGTCCTGAGACCTGTAACCCTCCTGTAGTGGCCATGATTATTATATTACCCCAGCAGCTGTGTGTAGTGAACCACACCAGGTATTCTTTTCTTTCAGTTACTTGTTCTGAGTCAGGCTGAGCAGGTCCTCGAAGAAGTGGATTGGCTAATCACCAAGCTTAAGAGACAAATGAGCCAAGAAACTCTATCAGGTAAGATGAATTCAGGTGGGGTTCCAGGAATTGTGACATGAGCAAAGTCAACCAAAATCCAAATTGGACTAGAACATAAAAGTAGATCCCTGAGCTAAATTCTAAATTTCTTGTTTGTTTGTTTTGTTGTTGTCATTTTTTTTTTTTTTTTTTTTTGAGACAGAGCCTCAAGCTGTCCCCCTGGGCAGAGTGCCGTGGCATTACAGCTCACAGCAACCTCCAACTCCTGGGCTCAAGCGAGTCTCTTGCCTCCACCTCCCAAGTAGCTGGGACCACAGGCGCCCGCCACAACGCCCGGCTATTTTTTGGTTGCAGCCGTCATTGTTGTTTGGCGGGTCCGGGCTGGGGATTCGAACCCGCCACCTTAGGTGTACGTGGCTGGCGCCTTAGCCGGTTGAGCTATAGGCGCCGAGCCGTTGTTGTCATTTTTGTTTTTGACACATAGTCTCACTCTGTTGACCTAGCTAGAGTGCTGTGGTGTCAGCCTAATTCACAGCAACCTCAGACTCTTGCTCAGGCTGGTTTGGAACTCCTGAGCTCAAGTGAACCTCCCACCTTGGCCCTCTCAGAGTGCTAGGATTACAAGCATGAGCTATCACATCCAGCCCTCTTGTTTGTTTGTTTGTTTTTGAGCCAGAGCCTCAAGCTGTCTCCCTGGGTAGAGTACTGTGGCATCACAGCTCACAGCAACCTCCTACTCCTGGGGTCAAACAAGTCTCCTGCCTCTGCCTCCCAAGTAGCTGGGACTACAGGTACCCGTCACAGTGCCCGGCTATTTTTTTTTTTTTGGTTGTTTGGCGGGCCCCAGGCTGGATTCGAACCCTCCAGCTCAGGTGTATGTGGCGGGTTTCTTAGCTTCTTGAGCCACAGGCGCCAAGCCTTGTTTGTTTTTTTGAGATTGAGTCTCACTTGTGTTCAAGTGATCCTCTTGCCTCAGCCTCTCAAGCAGCTAGGACTACAGATGCCCGCCACAATGGCTATTTTTAGAGATGGGGGTCTCACTCTAGTTCAGGCTGGTCTCGAACCAATGACCTCAGGCATTCCACCTGCCTCTGCCTCCCAAGTGCTGGAAGTACAGGCGTGAGCCACCAGACCTGGCCTTGTCTTGTTTGTTTTTGAACTAGAGTTCTGATAGGATCAAAGAAGTAGAAGGTAAGAACCCCAAAGATTCAACCACAAGACTCTTGGAAGTCATCAAAAAATACAGTAATGTCTCTGGATATAAAATCACTGTCCACAAGTCAGTTGCCTTTAAAGGTATATGCCAACAACAGCCAAGATGAGAGGTTAAGGACACAATTCCCTTCACCATAGCCCCAAAGAAAATGAAATACTTAGGAATATACCTAACAAAAGAGGTGAAGGACCTCTATAAAGAAAATTATGAAACCCTAAGAAAGGAAATAGCAGAGGATATTAACAAATGGAAGAATATACTATGCTCATGGCTGGAAAGAATCAACATTGTTAAAATGTCTATACTTCCCAGAGTAATTTACTGATTCAACACCATCCCTATTAAAATACCAACATCCTACTTTCAAGCCTTGGAAAAAATGATTCTGCATTTTGTATGGAACCAGAAAAAAACCCGTGTAGCTAAGGCAGTTCTTAGTAACAAAAACAAAGCTGGGGGTATTACTATACCAGATTTTAGGCTGTACTACAAGGCCGTAGTGGTCAAAACAGCATGGTACTGGCACAAAAATAGAGACATAGATATTTGGAATCTAATAGAAAACCTGGAAATGAAACCAACAACTTACAGCCACCTAATCTTCGATAAACCAAACAAGAGCATTTACTGGGGGAAAGACTCCCTATTTAATAAATAGTGCTGGGAGGACTAGATATCCACATGTAAAAGATTGAAATTGGACCCACACCTTTCTTCACTCACAAAAATTGATTCAAGATGGATAAAGGACTTAAATTTAAGGCATGAAATGATAAAAATCCTCAAAGAAAGAATAGGAAAAACACTAGAAGATACTGGTGTGGGGACAGACTTTATGAGGAAGACTGCCATGGCAATAGCAACAGCAATAATAAACAAATAGGATTTAATGAAACTGAAAAGTTTCTGTACAGCCAAGGAGACAACAACCAAAGCAAATAGACAACCTACTCAATGGGAAAGGATATTTGTATATTTTGAATCAGACAAAAGTCTAATAACCAGGATGTATGAAGAACTTCAATTAATCTACAAGAAAAAAAACCAACAATCCCATACACCAATGGGGAAGAGACATGAATAGAATCTTCTCTAAAGACAATAGATGAATGGCTACTAAGCATATGAGAAAACGCTCATCATCTCCAATTATTAGAGAAATGCAAATTAAAACCACCCTGAGATATCATCTAACCCCAGAAAGAATGGCCTATATCACAGAATCTCAAAACTGCAGATGCTGGTGCAAATGTGGAGAGAAAGGAATGCTTTTGCACTGCTGGTGGGACTGCAAACTAATACAACCTTTTTGGAAGGAAGTATGGAGAAACCTTAAAGAACTTCAACCTAGACTTCCCATTTGATCCTGCAATCCCATTACTGCGCATCTATCCAGAAGGAAAAAAACCTTTTCTTATGAAGACACTTGTAGACTGTTTATTGCAGCCCAGTTTACAATCACTAAAATGTGGAAGCAGCCTAAATGTCCTTCAACCCAGGAATGGATTGGTAAGCTGTGGTATATTATACTATGGAATATTATTCAGCCATCAAAAATAATGGAGATTTTACAGCATTTGTATTAACCTGGATGGAGGTGGAACACATTATTCTTAGTGAAGCATCACAGGAATGGAGAAGTAAGAATCCTATGTATTCAACTTTGATATAAAGATAATTAATGATAATTAATAACACGGTGGGGCATGGGAGAGGGGGAGACCAGAGGAGGTGGGAGGGGGTGTGGGCAAGGGAAAAAAAAAAGGAAGAAAATAGTGACTAATTTTTATATAAATTGTATTTAATTTTGACCAAAGTATATTACTTAAATGTTAATTTTTAATTCAACATGTTAATATGTTGTTTATCATATTGCATCCTCATTTATAAGTGAAATATGTTTGTAATTTCCCCTTTATAATAATATATTTTCTCCAATTTTAATATCAGGTGTATCCAGATTAAATGGAATGATTTTGAAGTATTTTTCTATTGTCTGTAAGATTTGGCATGATCTATTTTTTTGAAGTTATCTTTTACTTTTATTTGTAAATATTAGTTGTCTATTTTTTTGAGACTTTGGAAAAAACAAAATAAGAAGTTAACTGATCAAAGTATTCTATAATAGACATACTTCTAGCTGAAAAAAAAAATAGAAGGTAATGTCGCTATGACAGCATGATTATTGATTCACTGTATAATGAATGCTTGATTTCTAAATCTCCTTTACTCTTTACTAGAAAATAAAACTGGTCCTGTTTGATCATGTCAATTTTATTTCCCTTCAGAAAAGGGCTCTTCTCAGGCATCTGCACCAAATCATCCTGCTGCTAAAGCCATCATCATGCAACTGGGAACTCTGCTTACATTCTTCCATGAACTGGTGCAGACAGCTCTGCCATCAGGCAGTTGTGTAGACACCTTGTTAAAGGACCTGTGTAAAATGTACACTATCCTTACAGCACTAGTCAAATATGTGAGTATCTAAGAAAATCGAGTTCATTCCCACCATTCTGTCCTAATTACCTAGATGAGACTGGGGCAACAGCTCACTGTTGCAGAATACCCCTTCACAGAGCTTTTGTCTATGTCTTCACAAGTTGTGGCTTTATTTTATTTTGGTCAGTTAGGTGGCAGCCATCTACAGACCAGGGAAAAAGTTGATGGCATAGTTCTAATCTTCTTTGGGAGGCCCTTATTTCCTTGGCATATATGTGTTACCCAGTTGAGAATTTATGCCTCTTTCAAATGCCTTCTAAGGTTTAATATAAGCTATAGCTATAGAATTAAGTCTAAGTCCAAATTGCACAAAAAATTTTACCATTTCTAACCAGTGTGGACATTAAAGAGGTGTTTATTCCTTCATTCCTTTAACAAGTAGATGTTAAACACCTTTTTTTTTTTTTTTGAGACAGAGTCTCACAATGTTGCCCTCAATAGAGTACTGTGGTGTCATAGCTCACAGTAACCTCAAACTCCTGGGCTCAAGCAGTTCTCTTGCCTCAGCCTCCCAAGTAGCTGGGACTAAAGGCACCTGCCACAATGCCCAGCTATTTTTTTTGTTGTAGTTGTCATTGTTGTTTGGCAGGCCCGGGCTGGGTTTGAACCTGCTAGTCCTAGTGTATGGTTCCCTAGCCACTTGAGCTATGGACGCTAAGCCAGTTAAATGCCTTTTAAGTCAGGTACTAGGGTAGAAAAGAAAATTGTTTTTTAAAAAAATACAAGGCACACTCTGCCCTTACTGAGTTTAAGTTGATGTTTGTTAGCATCTGCCAATAAGAAACACCTTTCTTACTTTCTGAATCTGGTCCTCAACACATTCAGAGGAGTAAGACAAGAACTGGGTAATTAGTCTGATTCTAGTAGGGATCCATATTAAATGTCTAGGCTTAGGTAACCCAAGAAAGGTAACAACAAGAAAGTAACCCAACAGTGTTCCCAAATGGTAATGTGGCTATTTCTGTGAGTGTATAGCGCTAGTTATGGTTGTGGTTATTAAGCTGCTGAAGTGGAAACACTGAGAGCCTCTTCTAAAGGGACACCCAGTAAAGTCATTGGTTTCTTAGATGCAGGAACTATCGGCATGAAGGATTTTTAAGATAGTGAGCTAAGCAAGTCATAAATAAACCCTTCATCACCTATTGTCTGGGAAGCTTAAGAACTTTGGAGATTAAAAAGGAAGGCTTGTATCTTGGCTTCTTTATGAATTTTTCTTTTCCCTCTCCAGTCAAGAGTAATGAGTTACACTCCATAAGCTCACTGCAAGAGTCCCCCATAGTTTCTTAGGATGGTCTGCTAAATCTAGTAATCTTCTGTCATTAGTATCTCCAGGTGTGTTGGAGCTCTGGAGGAATTCCGAAAAATATGGAAAAGCTGGTGAGTGAAGAATGCCTTGCCTAAGAATGAGGGAAATATTTTATTGCAAGTTACATTTGTTTCCTTCTTGTTGCAGGTGAAGCTGTCTGGTTCTCATCTGACACCCCTATGTTATTCTTTCATTTCTTATGTACAGGTATGTGATTCAGAGGCAGTAACAAAATAGATCTTCAGAAAGGATTTATTACATGCCCAGGGAACTGCTTGGTCATCTGAGCAGAATGTATATAAAATTTCTTCCCAGCTTACTGAAAGTTAGGGGTGCCTGTCCGAGTTCAAGCCAAGGCTTTTAAAGGCTTTGCAGCAGGATCTTATTTATAGAGAGAAAACCATTTCATTTAATTTGGAGAAAGAAAGCATTTGATGTGCTTGTGTTGGGAGTAAAGAAGGAAACTAGCATGCTTGGGCTCAGTAACTTGGTTTATTTCTGGGTCACTGAAAGTCCATGCCATTCAGCATCCTTCAGGGATGTGAGTTAAGTAGCAGCAAGCACATAGCAAAGGGCTGAGATCAAATGGCAAAATAGTGAGAGCGCTTTCAAAGAGGTGAAGAGAATATGGACTTTTTAAAAGTGTCATCTGGTGCTAAATACCATCAGATTCTTGGAGTACTTGAATCTTCTTTAGCATTTGCTTAAACCAGGGTGTTTAAACCTCACCACTATTGACATGTGGGGCCAGATAATTCCTTTTTGTGGGGCCTTTTCTGTGTATTTCATGATGTTTAGCAGCATCTCTGGCCTTTACCAGATGCCAATAGCAGTCTCCCTAGTCATGGCAACCAAAAATGTCTTCAGAAATTGCCAAATGTCCTTAAGGGAAAAATCACCCCTGGTTGAGAACTAGATAGCTTAAAAATAAGTAATGATGGGAGGACATACTGTCTCCGAAGGCCACTTGGTCACTTCAATAAAAGTATCTTAGGGGTATTAATTGATCTTTCAGCCAAGATTTGAGAAACTATTTTAAAACAATGGATTATGATCACTTTGGTACTGATGCTTCACTTATTTTCTCTCTCTGTATCCCTTCACATTCAGAGCATCCTTCTCTGGGTAACTTGCTTCATTGGGTGTGCTAAGGATACCTCTTCCTCTCCCCTTGAGAATCAATGACCAAGTAGCCCATCATCTGGGTTTAGCTGAAAGAATTCTAAATGGGCTGATAGTTGAGGCTGTCATCTTGCCTTTGTACCAGCTTTCTAATGTGGGTCAGAAATGCATCATCCATTTCTATGTCCAGCCAGGTACAGTGTTACTCTCATCAAACTATTACCTACGGTCTTGTTACTTTATCTCGCCCAAATGCTTGCAAACATGCTTTTTTAGACCTTATGCTTGTAAGTGTTCGTGCCTGTTCCCTCTGTCAAATAACTGTTGCTGTTTATGGGATATATCCCTCCATTCCCAAATTTGAGCTTTTTGAGTTTCCTGATCTCTAAGTCTTAATGTTGCCTATAAGGCCACATTTTCACATAGACTAAAACAGTTCTCAAAAAAGGTAGGAGGCATTCAGTGAGAAATATTCATGCCATATTTCTTATCTTAGAGATTCGTGGTGTATGGTGTTCCCTTATCCATTAGCATATTAAAGGTGCTAAGAGTTCCAACATCAGTTTCCAAACCTATTCAGGAACATTTGTTCTTTTAATAACAAACATTACTACTTGGCAAAGTAGTGTTCCATAGAGTATAGTTGGGGAAACACTTCTCTTTTAGACCATATTTACTACCTTTGTTATAATACACAAGTCACTTTGTCTATCCATTTTATTAGTACATCTAACTTTTAGAGACCCTGGGTGGTGCCTGTGGCTCAAAGGAGTAGGGCGCCAGCCCTGGCCAAAAACTACAAAATAAATAAATAAATAAATAACTGAACACATGCCTTTAAAGATTAAAAAAAAAAAATTAGAGACCCTTACCTTGTGCCTGGGCGTAAGCCCTTTTCATGCATCACCTCATTTATCCTAACTGTACTTTGTGATCAGTAGTTATCATATAAGTAATTGGAAAAGGTTAGAGGTTAATTGAAGTGTTCAGGAACAGACAGCTAAACTGAAACTTGAACCCATCTAGTTTGACTCTACAGTAGGGATCAGCCAACTTTTTTTGTTAAGGGCCAGATAGTAAATGTTTTAGGCTTTGCAGGCCATAAAGTCTATCACATCTACCACCTCTGCTGTTGCAACACAAAAGCAACCATAGATAATATGCAAATAAATGAGCATGGCTGTATTCCAGTGAAACTTTATTCTCAAAAACAGGCAGCGGTCCACACTTACAAGTTATAGTTTGTCAACTCCTGCTATCTGGAGTCATATTTGATACTTGGTGACTGTAAAATGTTGGACAATTTTAGCTTTTTGTATTTCTGACCCCATTCTCAGACATGTTTTTCTGTGAATCACTAGGCATTTCCTAGGCTGCTATTCTTTTTCCCACATTACACAAAAACTAGTTTCATATATTCCCTGGTTATTTTCTCCCTTTCCCATCTATGTGACTTAAAGCCTTCCTGACTAGCTTATCTGTAGGTAAACATTTTTCTGTCTTTGTGAGATAGATGTATTTAATGAATGCCCCTGGGCAAGAACCCATGGTTCCATTAACTCCAGCTCTCTTCTAGAAATGGGAATTGCATTTGCCACATCTTTCAGAGCTATTATTCTTACAGCCCTTTCTTTTTTCCTGAACCACCTTTGATCTCAATGGCAAGAAAGCAGTGAAAACCATTACTCCAAAACACTTAGCTTCTCTTCTGGCTCTAAGCTTAGCCCTCCCTGAACCAATTGGAATGGACAGAAGACAGGGTCCCATCTTGGATACAACCTCTGAAAAGATGGTTCCTTTCCCATTTGGTTAGGTGAGGTGTAACTGTGGCTACTTGCCCTCCCCACCCCACCCCTTTTTTTTTTTTTTTTTGGAGACAGAGCCTCAAGCTGTCCCCCTGGGTAGAGTGCCGTGGCATAGCTCACAGCAACCTCCAACTTCTGGGCTCAAGCGAGTCTCCTGCCTCCGCCTCCCAAGTTGCTGGGACCACAGGCGTCAGCCACAATGCCTGGCTATTTTTTTTTTGGTTGCAGCCATCATTGTTGTTTGGCGGGCCCGGGCTGGATTCGAACCCGCCACCTTAGGTGTATGTGGCTGGAGCCTTAGCCACTTGAGCCACAGGCGCTGAGCCGCTTGCCCTCCCTTAATAGGGCTTCACCATTCTATATCCTTTCAGGGCCAAAAGTAGATTTCCCCACAGTATCCCCTCTGGAATTTCTATTGTTCCTTATTTTCTAGAATAGACATGTGGAACAAGCCTCCTGTTTCTCTCATGGTACTGGTGGCATAGCTTCTTTTTATTTCCTTAATTGTCCCCATGGAGCATGGTGTGTTCCTTTTTTTCCTAGAAGTTACAGAACTCACTTTGAGGTAATAACTTACACACCTCACACTTGGGTGGTTTTTCTCCCCAGTCTTCCCTGAATCAAGTCTTGATTTGCATTTGCCTTATCGGTATCCTATACTTCTTGTTTTGTTTTTTTTCTTCATTAGTTCTTTTCTCTCCAGGAGCTCTTTATTACTCAATAATCTACAACACAGGAAAGTGTTTGTGTGACCCTTTAAGCCCTCTCAAGCATAACTATCATACATAAGATATGTCTGGTAATTGCCCATCAGTGAGGCAACTGCAGGCCCCTGCAACAAGCTTCTCAGCTTTCTTTTCTTTAAAGAACCCTTTTAAGCAGCTGGCTGAAAGAGAAATGAATATTCCTGCTATCACTTTGACAGTCCCCATCTTAACTATCCTTTAGTACTTCACCAGTCCCTTGGCTGGCCTAGCATAGTAATGCTTAGTCCTACCCTCAACGTCCATGCGCTAGCTCCCAGAGCAATTTAAAAAGAAAAGTATCTGCAGTTTACAAAGGATCTTAAATTTTTCCCATCTTTCAGCATCTGTTGCACAGATAATTCAGATTCAAGTCCCCATACCCTGTCGTAATGACCCAGGAAAATTACCACTAGCTTGCTAGATCTACAGAGAAATCTTCAGGAATGAGAAAATGTGTTTCTATTTCTTTAGAATAAGAACAGTCAAGGCCCGAAGCACACAGGAGAGAAGAAAAAGGAGAAAACTGCTGTTGTTGCTACAGCCATGGTAAGCTGCATTAAAATATAGTTGCTGGTGAACTTTGAAAACATGTTAAAAAGAGGCCATTCACAGAAAGACTACATATTATGATGCCATTTATATGAAATGTTTAGAAAGGGCAAATCTAAAAAGGCAAAGTAGATTAGTGGTTTCCTAGAGCTAGGTGGGTTAGGCAGATGGGAAGACTGGGATGACAGCTAAAAAGGGTATGGAATTTCTTTCGGTGTGATAAAAACATAAAATTGATTGTGGTCATGGTTGCACAATCCTAAATACAGGCAGTCCCCAGGTTATAAATGAGATAGGTTTTATAGGTTTGTTCTCTAGTTGAATTTGTATGTAAGTTACAACGGGTACCTTTACCTATTACCTGTAAAAGCTTCCATTCATTTGCTAGTCGTAAATCACTCCGATGTTTCTAAGTCAGGGATTTGTAATGTGTAATTTAGACGTAACTTGGGGACTACCTGTATGTTAAATAACCCCACTCAGTTGTATACTGTGAGTTGTATGGTATGTGAATTCTCTCAGTAAAGCTGTTACCAAAAAGTGTGTATGTGGTATATATGTCTACTTCTTAATTTGTGGACTTTATTATCAAATGGATCATCCTACTTTTTCTTCTGAACCAAAACACATTTTATTCAGGAATCACTAGAACATCTTGAGCTGAAATAGAAATAGTGAAATAGCTTAGGATACCCATTGGAAAGAAATTGTTTTTGGGAAAAGCAGGTGAATGCAAAAGGTACTCTCTAAAGAATCAATCTGTAAGAGTTGGTGAGGGCATAGGAAAGTGAGTACTTAATATATTGCTGGGAAAGGCAAAAGTGAGTGAAACTTCTCAAGGGGACATTTTGGCAGTAACTACTGAACTCTAGGAGATACATACACTGCTTTAACAATTTCACTTTTAGGATATAAAGGCATGTGTATAGCATGGTCCTAGCAACATTAATTGTTTGTTGTTTAGAGACAAGGTCTTATTCTGTCACTCTGTCATCCAGGATCATTGCTCACCACAACCTTGAACTCCTGGGCTCAAGGGATCCTTCTGCTTCAGCTTCTTAAGTAGCCAGGTGTAATTATAGGCACATGCTACCACTCTGCTGCCCCACCCCCCCTTCCCATGGGCTTTTGCTATGTTGCCCAAGCTGGTTTCAAACTGTTAGCCTCAAGTGATCTCCTACCTTGGCCTCTTAAAGTGCTAGGATTACAGAGTGAGCCACCACACCTGGCCATGCTTACAAAAGTAAAATGCTGGAAACAGTTAAGGTATGCATTAATACAGGACTGGCTAAATGTAATAGATTATAGTCTACTTTTACTAGATGCTGTGCAGACATGGGAAAAACAAATCTAAATATTCAGTTATATCTCCAAGATTGTACACATCGTTCTTTTTGTTAACAAAAGAACAATGCATACAGTGTCCTCAAGGATTAGTGCATTTAAAAAAATATATATGTACAAGGCTGGATGCAGTGGCTCATGCCTAATCCTAGCACTCTGGGAGACCAAGGCAGGTGGATTGCCTGAGCTCAGTTCAAGACCAACCTGAGCTACAGCGAGACCCCATCTCTAAAAAATAGTAACTGGGTATTGTGTCGGGCACCTATAGTCCCAGCTACTCAGGAGGCTGAGGCAAGAGGATCTCTTGAGCCTCAGAGTTTGAGGTTGAGGCTCTGCGCCTGTAGCTCAAGTGGCTAGGGCACCAGCCATACACCAGAGCTGGCAGGTTCAAATCCAGCCCAGGCCTGCCAAACAACAATAACAACTACGACCTAAAAAAAAAAAAAAAAATAACCAGCCATTGTGGTGGGCACCTGTAGTCCCAGCTACTTGGGAGGCCGAGGCAAGAGAATCACTTAAGGCCACGAGTTGGAGGTTGCTGGGAGCTGTAACACCATGGCACTCTACTCAGGGCGACAGCTTGAAACGGTCTCAAAAAAAAAAAAAGAATAGAGGTTGGTGTGAGCTATAATACCACAGCACTCTACCAGAGCAACAGAGTAAGACTCTGTCTCAAAAAATACAAAATTAAAAAACATGTATAAACATACATACATAAAAAAAATTGGAAGGATTTATAAATTACAGTTCAAATTGGAGGGAAAGTTGTATAATCCTAAGCAGTGAAAACTCACATGCAGGTTAGAAAAAGGAAGCAGACCTAGTGCTGGGGAAGATGCTTTGTTTTAAGATACAAAGTCAGAGAAGCAAATAAATTTCTGTAAATATTCCTGCCTTCCTCAGCCAGTCTCTAGATAACAAATATTAGGAATTACAAATGGAAACAATCAGTACAATAATGTCTATTAGCATTTGAGTCTTTTGAGATTAAACTGTCACAAATTTCACATTACTGGTATGTAAGTAAAATTGCATTTAATTGAGAGACAGACTAATTTCCCTACAAGGTTGCACACATTTCTGCAACTGACAGCTTCATAGGAAAACTTTAAAAACCACTGAATTTCCTGTTGGACAAACATAGGAAAGAAAAACCATTGAACCTGAAATTTAAGTCTTCTTATCTTCTTTGCCCTTAGGCTAGAGTTCTTCGGGAAACCAAGCCAATCCCTAACCTCATCTTTGCCATTGAACAGTATGAAAAATTTCTTATCCACCTTTCTAAGAGGTCCAGGGTAAGCATTAATTTGTTACCATTTACATTTACCCTATTAAGGGGATCTGGCAAATGGAAGCAGTGCAACTACAGTGGGGAAAACAAACTACAATCCATTTGTTCCTTTGCTTTATCTGACAGTCTGAATCCAAACATGTAAGGAAAATCAGCCAAGTGGGTATGTGCTTGCTTTTAAGTAGGAACTGAAGAGTTTGTCAGAAGTACACTAAAAATGATTTAAGGTATCCTGGTGGGACCTGAGTAGGAGAATATTCCTGTGCTTACAATCCTGTCACAGGTGAATTTGATGCAGCACATAAAGCTCAGCACTTCAAGAGACTTCAAAATCAAAGGAAACATCCTGGACCTGGTTCTTCGAGGAGATGGAGAAGATGAAAATGAAGAGGTCAGTGTCTGCTTCTGTCTGGAGCATAGGAAGCCCTAGCCACGCTTCCTAGCTGGTTGCTAAGTAGACTAGATCTGGGCACAGGCTCTGATTAATGGAAGGAGGAACAACATCCAGCAGCTGGGGAAAGGGCTAAAAGGTGGTCAGGCAAAGATGAAAGCTAAGGACTCTCTCAAGAGAACTGTAAAATTTTGGACCACACAGAATCCTATGAAGGTGCCCAAATTTGTATACACTTTTGTTAGACATTTCCAAGAAGAGAGTTGTGACAAAAGAATGTCTTGCTGTGGGTCCTCTGGTTTTTTTTTTTTTTTTTTTTTTGACAGAATCTCACTCTGTCACCCTGGATAGAGTGCTGTGGCATCAACCTAGTGCACAGCAACCTCAAACTCTAGGGCAATCCTCTTGCCTCAGCCTCCATTTCAGATTATTAGTATATAAGTAAAATTGGGACTACAGGCACCCACCACAATACACTGCTATTCTTAGTAGAGACAGGGTCTCTTGCTCATACTAGTCTCAGCAATCCATCTGCCTCTGCCTCCCAGAGTGCTAGGATTAACAAGTGTGAGCCACCATATCCAGTGATACCTGTTATTTATTTTTGAGACAGAGTTTTACTACATCACCCTCAGTAGAGTACTGTCATCACAGCTCAGCAGCCTCAAACTCTTGGGCTTACATGATTCTCTTGCCTCAGCCTCCCAAGTAGCTGGGACTACAGGCACCCACCACAATGCCCAGGCTGGCTTAGAACCCACCAGCCTCAGTGTATGTGGCTGGTGCCCTAACTACTGCACAGGCACCAAGCCATCCCTGTTATCTTTAAAACCACTGGACCGTGACCAGTTATAGCAGCTGGGCTCAGAAACCAGTTTATTTCTCACATCATGCTCTCATTCAGAACAGGACCTTTCTTACTGTCTGGTTAGGGCTTCCTTCATGTCATTCCAGTTAGAGTCTTCCTGTCCTTCTGGTTTATTACTCTCCCTATTGCCCCACCAGTTATAGTACCATACCCCCATCCCTGAAGCATCTTTGAAGCAGTTCAGTGTTCCCTTATCTCAGCACCTAATACTATCATCTTGGGTTTAAAAGTAGCCTACTCCTATTTCAAAACTGTAAGTTTACATAAAATGTCCTGGACTCCTGACTTCTCAAAACCTTTTAACCTGGGCGGTACCTGTGGCTCAGTGAATAGGGTGCCAGGTTCAAACCCAGCCCCAGCCAAACTGCAACAAAAGAATAGTGGGGCATTGTGGCGGGTGCCTGTAGTCCCAGCTACTCAGGAGGCTGAGGCAAGAGAATCACCTAAGCCCAAGAGTTGGAGGTTGCTGTGAGCTGTGATGCCACGGCACTCTACGTGAGACTTTGTCTCTTAAAAAAAAAACCGTTAGCCTATCTTCTTTAGATTACCACATTCCAGGTCCTAATGCATTGGCTACATCAATTTCCTTTATCTACTTGGCATTTACATTCAGAAGGGTTAGGTAGCATTGTGATGCCTGTTGCTTCTCTATCCTCTTGTCCCATGAGTCTCCTTAGTGTAACAGAAGTCCTAGGGAACATGTTGGCACTGCCCTTCTGTACTCTGGAGGCTTCCCCCTCAACGTAATTATCTCCCATGAGTGGGAAAGGAGGGAAAGTGTGACTAACGCAGGCTTTGATGAGAATATAAAGGGTTTTGTGTATTTTTATTTTCACTGCCTTTGTGCAGGTTTATCACATCAGAGCATTACTTCTCTCCCCTTTTAGGGTACTGCATCAGAGCATGGGGGACAGAATGAACCAGCCAAGAAGAAAAGGAAAAAAGAAATGAAATGCCTGAGTTAATGTGAACTTTGGGGCTTCTGCTTCCTTTCTTCACTGAACAAGCAACAGTGCCCCCTGTCTTAACACCCCAAACCAAGGTTGGCTTCTTAGTTCTGAGCCCACTGAATGCAACTGCACCTTCAGTTAGAAGGAATCTTCTTGGCAGGTCTTGCTACTGAAAAGTAGCTGACCTTAGGCAAGCCCTTTTACAAAAAGCACAGCTTGAAAGCCTGAGTTTGGGAGCCTGCACCACCCCGATGAAGCTCCACAGGAGCAAATACAGTGCCTCCAGGCAGAGCTATGGTCCACGCTGGCTTCATTTTTCCAAGGAGCCTTTGGTGAGTTCAATTATCTGGTAAATATCCAGCGCTTCACCTGAAAGACAGTGCAAACTGGTTAGGATGCCTCCTCAAAAACTGAGAGCTCAGAAGTGAAAAGAAACTTAAGGTCAAAATGGAGGGTGAAAGGGTTGAGAATGAATTTCCAGGAATAGTCATGTAATATGTTAGGAGGGTCCAGTTTTCTTTCTGTATGTTTGTCTTAGATACATTTAAAATAGAAAATAAACTTTTGGATTTACTCACTAAAAAAAAAAGTCAACCTAAGTATGCACTTTGACTTTATACAATAAATCCTCTTCGAAACATTTCTGGTAGGCAGAGCCTGTGGCTAAGTGGGTAGGGCGCTGGCCACATATACCAAGGGTGGTGGGTTTCAGCTAAAATAGTGACAGCTGCAACCCCCCCAAAAAACATTCTGGTATGGCTAAAGTTAGTGATGTAGGTGAAATATTTGAAGCTCTGATATCTTTCATTTACTATAAAGGCTTTTTAGAAACATTCATCCCTTTTAATACTTGACTGTCATATTCAGTCATTTTGGACCTAGAGCACCTTATAAACTGAAGTAGCCTAGATTATAACACAAGCCAAGAGTGAATTTCTTCTCTGGTGCCCCAAGCTTCCTGTTTCCAAGACCACTTTCTAGTCTACCTCACATCCATTGCATAAAGGAACAAATGTGTTGTGCTCACCCTGGGGAATCCCGTATCTCCTTTCCATCCCAGTTGGGTTGGAAGGGGTTTTACAATCCATGGTCACTTCCTTCCTGAGGCACTGGTCAATGTCAACTGCACTGAAAAAGGCGACTGACTGGGGCAAGTCATTCAGACCCAGCTTGTAGGCAAACATGCACCTGAAAAGAGACCCAATCTCCTCTCATAGTCATGTCCTTATTATGAACACAGACTTATCACTCTTTGAAGACAACAAAACGACCTTGTATCCCTTAGGGCCTCCCCTGGACCAGTCCCCTCTGTTCATTTAGCTAAGCCAGGAAAGTGGAAGTACTACCACCGTCCTCCAGCCAGCAGCCTAACCTCCTCCCAGTGAGATACTGAAATGCAATTACAGACTCAACACGCTTTTTTTCCTCCAGTTTGGTACATTTTATTGATATAAAAAACCACTTTCCAGTATTGGGCCAGTTTGAGGAATAAATGAGCAATTTTTGTTAGCTTTAAGTATAACCCCCAGGAGAAGATTTAAGAGGGCAATGATGACAATGTTGAATATCATAAACATTTGTTATTTACCCATTAATCAGGATAGATCATGGTTCCCAAACTGGTTCTGAGTGGCAGAGCAACATGGAACGGTAATATTTAATTCATCCATATGAAATAGGAATTTTACTACAAGAAAATACAACTCAATATATAAAATATATATAAGATTTTTAAATTTACATTTGCGTTTCCTCATACAATTTCTGTTAGCAAAATAACTTTTGGCACTTTGACATTTTTTTCTTTTACCCATATTCTAAGTGCGTCAATTTTCTATGAATTGAAAAAAGTCTTCGTTTCAAATTTCAACAGGAAAGTATGTTCCTAGGGGAACACAGATTGAGATACACTCTGGAAGGGCTCCCCTGATTTTGTCACTCCCTCAGCAAGCTAGTCTTGGTATATGACACTTTCAAACCCAACAAATTTTTTATTGAGGTCAGTTTTTTTTTTTTGACTTTTCATAAACTTTTAAAAATTAAAGACAAAAGCTAAAACATTTATTTGGGGATGAAAACTCAAAACCGCCCAGCCTAGCTGAAATAGCTTTCCCCCAGGCCCATACAGGAGCACATGGCCAGGCCAGAAAGGCCATGGGCCCCGCATACCTGGTCAGGAGGTTGGTGATCTGCAGGGCCAGGGCAGCTCGGTAGCGGTCCTCCTCCCGCACCAGGTAACGAACCTCATCATGGATGCTGATGCAGAAACGCCCATCAATGGCAAACTCTTCAAATAGCCACTTCATAGCCACAAGCATGAGGTGTAAATAGTCCACAGCAGAGCTCTGCACCACCCAGTTCACACGGCTGGTCATAAACTAGAAAGAAAGGTGAGCACATGTGAGAGGGGCTCTGCCACACAGCAATAACTCTGTGGTAGATGAGGCCCAGAGGGAGCCTTCCCCTGCTTTCTCTGTGCCACCTCTTTCCATGCTCCAAAAATAGTAAGATACCTCCCCCTGGACAGCTGAGGGCTCCAGGGCTCGGCTGATGCGGCAGCCCAACACAGGGGTACATGGCTTGTCAGACGTGGCAATGCTCTCCAGTTTATTGAACATTTCTGATTCTGTGCCCCCAATCCATGCTCGTTCAGCAACCACCTCCCACTTCTTCCAGCGGGACCTGGAAGACCAGGAACGAAGAGAAGACACCCTTTTGTCTTTTAGTATCTCAGCTAAACAAAAGCATCTCAGTGCTCTTCTGAGGCCAGCCAGACCCCTCCCCACATCCTTAACATGTAGGTTCTTACTTCCGTGAAGCTTCTCTCTGAATCTTGCGCAGATCCTGCAGGGAAACCCAGCCATCCTCAGTCCTGTCCACAGGGAGGTCCAACTCCCTCACCAGCCACTCACCCTCATCTGACAGCCGATACCTGGAGGTAGTGTCACCACCATCGTTCCATGGGAGTGCTGCCTCTATGCCACACCCTCGGCTAAGAGTGTTCACATACCACCTCACTCAATTTCCAACACCACCCTGGAGTCATGCCCCTCCCCTAAAGGCTTAGAGGGGTACAGAAAGAAAGACCAAGAAAGGGCTCAGGTAAGGGGCAAAAGATAACAATATGGAAGCCAGGCAGTAAAGCAGGCCTGAGGATCTGGGCATTAACACGGTCAGGAGAGGGACTCTCACCTGCGAATGCCCTTGGTGACAGCGTACATCTGCTGGGCTTTCTCAGCTGCTTCCTGCCGGGTTAGCCGATGGTTGAATTGCATTAGTAGGCGCTCAGCAAAGGGCTGCCCAGCCCCGTAGATGCGGCCATAGTTGAAGATTTTGGCATGCTCACGGCTGATGCCCACTGTGGTAGCTGTTTTACTGTGTAAATCAGTGCCCCTACTCTTCCTGCCCTGCAATGTCATCCACCCGAAAGCTGTACAGCCTAGAGAATAAGGCAGCAGCAGTGAGAAAGCTCAGAAACCTGCCCAGCCACCTATGCTCTAAGGGACTGCGATGCCTCCAGCCCTTCTCACCATGCATGCCAGCAAAGTGGGCGTCTCCAAGCACAGCTGCAATCCACAGTTCCTGGGAGTCCACATCAGCACCCACAAGGACATAGCCAGGTGGAGCCTGTACCATGGCTTTCAACTCACTGCCTACTCGGTCAGGCTGCAAGAAAAGTGAGGTCAGACCCACCTACACACACACCCACCTAGTGAGACAACTGCCCTATTCCTAGAGCCAGAGTCAACTGAAAAAGTGCTAGAGCCTTTCCTGAGAGGGAGGCTTTAAGAGTGCCAGGGAGCTCCAAACTCACTGGCCCTATCTAGGTCTCTCACCTACGTGGCCTCATCTCTACCACAGCTGTGGCTATTTTGCGTATCATTGGTCAGAAGCAAGTGCCCTGAATACATCTAAAGGAATGGCCACAATCATGAAGCCAGATTTGAATTACAGTCCCACTAGATCCAGGTTCCTTTTCATTCTCCTTGCCCTAGGTCCCAGTTTCTGGTCTCATAGGAGAGGAAGAGCAGGGCCTAGAGATGCAGAGGACACGTACCCGGGCATTGCTGGCAGTAAGCCATGTAGGCTCTACAGCTCGTCGTGTGATGGTACCAGCAGTCACCACTTGGGGCAGAATGGCCCCGTAACGGCCTTCCTCATTGTAGTCAGGATGCCTGGTGGCGGAGAAAAGTGAGTCTTGGCCCTAGGTCTCACCCCAAACTCAATTCTATCCCCACAACCACACAACACACCATACCTGGTCACAGTACGGGGCAGAGCCGACCTGGGCAGCCACACCACCATCTGAGAACTTATAAATACACACAGACCTAGTATCAGCAGAGTCATGGGAAGTGGAATCCACCTCTTATCCCACCAAGGCCATCACCCACTCAACTTCAGGGCTACTGTACTCCCTTGTTGCTCAGCCTCACTAACTTGACTCAAGGTGAACCTAAGGCCTGGGGCCCAGGAGCATAAGCCTTCTGGAACCTGGCCAGGCCTCTGGCAGCTTCTGCCTCCATTTCCAGGTATCCAGAGGGCAGATTTTCACCACTACATCTTTCCACAGCCAGGGCAGACTTCACCAACTCATCAAAGCACACTGCTCACAAGAGTGTGATGGCCACAACCACCTTGGAAATGGCCTACAGGATGAATCCATTTGCCATTCCCAGACTACAAAATCCAGCTCTCAACCCCTAAAAGAGCTTAATGGGCCCCCAGCTCTCCAAGGTCCTCAGCCATACCCCTCTGGCTCTAGGGTTCTGGAGATTTGAGAGACCATTAAGGTCCTACAGTACCGTTCTCTTTACATAAATGCAGAAACAAGCTAGAGAGAGAGAGACCTTTTGCCCAAGGTCCATGGCAAAAGGCCCAGAGTAGTCTGGCCTTTGTAGGAAGCGAGGAAAGGAGTCCCAGGATGGCAGAAATCTGACCAGAGGTAATGAAAAGCTTGTCTGCCCTCCCATGGTGGCCAACCTGATGCGTTTATGTGCATTCCTCCAGAAAGAAATCAT